TTAGTTTTCTTTGATAGTCAGACTGTTTTGTATTCCTTGATGTTGCCAGTACAGCCCACTTGGTCTATATGCCAGGGTGAGTCAGGAGAACAGCACTGTATCTCTGTGCAGGGTCCTTCCACCAGCTACCTGATCACACACTTTGTTGTACTCTGTAAAATTGCCAAATTGCTGTTGTATTTCAGATAACTATGGGTATGCCTACACTAGCTCATTAGTTCAAGCTAGGTAGGCAAATGAGGGCAACCGGAGTTGCAAATGAAGCCCGGGATTTAAATATCCCGGGCTTCATTTGCATGCTCCCGGGCGCCGCCATTTTTAAATCCCCCTTAGTCCGAACTCACTGCCCACGGCTAGACTTGGCAGTTAAACGTTAATTCCATGAGGAGTAACAGTTAGTTTGAACTAAGGAGTTAGTCGAATTAACATTTAACTGCCGCGTGTAGCCATGGGTAGTTAGTTGGGTCACATGGGAAGAGCCCAGTGGGGTAATCTGGGCTGTTAGTCCTTATCCCAGAACACCAGGCCCACCTCCCATCTCCTTCCTTCCATCCCTCCTATCCAGTAGCCAGGGTGCAGCATAACCTTGCCATCCCCTAAGAGTGCAGGTATGCGGTGTGGCCAAGACCTGCCCAGCGTGTGACAGACCTGGGAGAGCCTGCCTCAGCCAGGGGCCTGGCCCTGATGTTCCAGTGGGTTCACCCCTTCCCTGAAAGGCCGAGGTGCAACACAGCAAGCAGGGCCCCTCGGGGTGCCACAGGGGGAAAGCAGGGAGCCATGGCCCCAGCAGAAGGGGGCAGTGCTTTGTGGACAGAGGGGGCCCAAGGGAACCTGAGGCTTCGCAGGGGCAAACCTCCAAAGGGCTGTGCCTCCACAGTGTTCGCCAGAGCCTGGGTGTCTCTGGGGGGGAGGGAGCTGTCAGTACATGGCTCCTGCCCCGCCCCTGGATGTTGCTGGGTGGGAAGCTCCTCACCATTGCAGACCTCCAGGCCCTCACTACAGGGTAAGCCCCACGCAGGCAGTGCCTGCGCTTTTAATCTCTGGCAGGATCCACTCATGGTCAGGGATTCTCTCCGCTATCTTGGGTGGGAGGGAAATAATTAGCAGTGCTGTCATGGGATGCACTGAAGAAGCAATGCTTTAGCCACTGCTGGGGACCAGACCCCCGCACTCCTTGCCCTTACCCTGAAAGTTGCACATGGGGTCCCACCGGGGCAGTCAGGAAGCATCTGCTAGTGCCAAGTCCTCCTGCTCCACAGCAGGCTGCTGGGAAAGGTGTGCGCCCTGAGCTGAAAGGTTCGGGGTTGTTGAGAAGGCAGGAACTGGAGGGGAGAGCAAGGATTCAGGGGGAATGAACTGGGGCTGCAGGAGAACTGGGAAAGGAAAGGGGGAACAAAGAGAGGAGCGGAGAGGCTGAGGACGGAGGCAGGCGGCAGGACACAGAGTGACATGATATGTCACTTTGTCATCCTGTGGGAAATTTTTTTGAGAGGGAGAGATTATATAGTGCTAACCAAAGTGGAATGTATGGTCACCTTGAGAGAGAGAGAGAGAGAGAGAGAGAGAGAGAGAGAGAGAGAGAGAGAGAGAGAGAGAGAGAGAGAGAGAGAGAGAGAGAGAGAGAGAGAGAGAGAGAGAGAGAGAGAGAGAGAGAGAGAGAGAGAGAGAGAGAGAGAGAGAGAGAGAGAAAGAAAGAAAGAAAATCAACTTTGGAGTGGTCTTCAGTTATTAAAAACAATTAATTACTCAGAATTAGATGTGAGCAAAATTTTAATATATTTTCTATAAACATATCTGAGTTTTTAAACTCTTCCATTTTGATTGTGTTCACTTCTCTGTTCTACTCTAGGATTTCTGTCAAAAAGTTTCAGGGAAAAATTGACTTTTAAGATGACACAGGAGAATATTCACCAAAAGTAAACTATGAAGGCCCAGATCCTACAAGCTGCTGTGTGTGATTGAACCACCATGCCCACATAAAGCCCTATCCACTTAAGCTGGCAAGATTGGGTCAAAGGTGAAAAGTTAAGTATTCACCCAAAAATGGATTCTAAATGTTTTGCTTACACGGTGAGATACCATCACCTTCTAGTGGCTGGACCATAGAGGTATGGGATATGAAATCTGGTCACCTCCCCGTAAAATCTGGTGTTTTGTGTGTTTTTATCCTATTCTACACAGATACCACGGTGCTTTTACCCTATTCTACACTGATACCATGTGGGGAGACCAGTATTTCTCAAACTGCATGTCGTGACTCCATAAGAAGTTACAGAGGGTGTCAAATACCCAGAGAGATACCGTGTCTTGGTTTGGAGCTTGGGATCTGACATGCACCCCCATCCCTAGGCTTCAAAGACTAAGTTCACGCCTGAGCCCCAACGTCTCCATGACTACCGTTAGTTCAGTAGCCTAAGCCCTGTGACCTGAGCCAGGCTCTGAGACCCACTGCTGCTTGCTGGGTAGATGCACCCAGGCAAGTTTATGAAGGGCAGCTACACCAGAGAGCTTATAGTGTGCCGCTGAATTGACTCAACTGTGTACTATAAGCTCTCTAATACAACAGCAGAGAGCTCGCCCATTGACTTAATTACTCCAGCTCCTGCAAGCAGCAGATCTATGTTGGCAGGAGAAGCTGTCCCGCCAACAGAGTGCTGTCCACACCAGCCCTTATGTCAGCATAACTTTATGTCACTCAGTAGTGTGATTTATTCATCTCACTGCATGACAGTTATGCAGTATAAGTTGTAGTGCACCCATAGCCTGAGCCTACTACAGCCTCTGAAATAAGAAAGCACAGTCTTTTAGTTCAGGCAGCAACTGTTCATGGGCTCAGATCCAGAGATCCCTGGTTCAAACCAACCTGCCATGATTTCCCCATGGTGTAATGAGAGGCCTGGTTTTGACATGTCTCATAGCCACCTTATATATGGACTTAGCATAATCCATAGCCATTTTGTATGCTCAGCTACCATAAGTTGTAAAAATAAAAATAGAGTCAGAAGAATTCAGCCTCAATAGAGACTGACAGAAAAGTATCAGTTGCAGCATTTATACCAAGGATTCATATATATATATTCACAAAGTCACGAGATTCGGAGAGAATGGACAAGTTAACCTTGAGTTTCTGCAAGCAGTTTCTTCCTGATTATAAAAAGTATAAGGTTTTGCTATTGCAAATGTATTCCACAAATGAAGTATAAAGGTAAGTAGATCTTGAGAAATGTTTACTACCTTTTAAAAACACAAAAACTAATGAGTAGGCTGTCTTAGATATCTGAACTTCAGTACAGTGAAAATGATTGGTTAGTGGTTTTTTGCATTGACATGCTTTGAGTAAAATAATTAGTTAAGGTATTGATAAGACAAACTCTCATTTTAACCATATTAAGGGTCAAAAAACAAGTTTGTTGGAACTTAACTCTGGGATACAGATCAAATCAAAGCTGCGAGGATTTTTAACCCCTGCACAACTATACGCTTTATACTGGAGCCCTGGACAAGATTGAGAAAATAAGAACAGCTATTCAGGATCAGATCAAAGGTCCATCTAGCCCAGTATCCTGTCTTCCAGATGTCAATGCCAGATGCCCCAGAAAGAGTGAACAGAACAGGGAATCATCAAGTGATCCCTCTTCTGTCATCCGTTTCCACCTTCTGACAAACGGAGGCTAGGGACACCATCCCTACCAATCCTGGCTAATAGCCATTGATGGGCCTAGCCACCATGATTGGACCCTGACTGGCCTTTAGAAGGCATAAGTCTACTTTCCTGGAAGCAGTGAGTATTAGATGCTTGGTGTGTGTAGTCTGTTGATTCATTGTTAACGGCTAATAAATACACATACATGTTTAAGAATATTTAATTTGTAACAAGGGCTCCATTACTAGGAAAAGCTCCTGTTAACTACTAAAAGGCCACTGGGATCCAGAATTGCGCAAATAACAATGGATGTCACAAGTTTACACTCATCCATCCCAAAGAACATACACAAACAAGGGTGAAAATCTTGCTACACAAAAGACAATGGCAAAACTCTCATTGGCTTAAATGGGGCCAGGATTTCGCCGCTAGTGTCCTTGAGGATATTCTTTTTTTTTTTAAATTGGAAATGTCTATGCAAAAATCTATAAACCAGAAATGACTCCCTGAAACTATTTAGCTTCCCCCGGTGTCAAGAATAAATATATAAGTAAAAATTCTAAGCTACTAACAGACTCATGAAGAGAAAAAGAGGCAAAATCTGCCAAATTGTTCACTTGGAATTCAGCTCTAATCAGAAGGAAAAAGTCTCATTTTTTATCCTTTTTAAACATCACATTGAAAGATCTAATGTTTCATTTTGACAGGCTGTTAACACACAATTCCCAGTGTGTCACCAGCATCCTACCAGAAAAACCAACAGCTTTGTTTACATTTTTAAATTAAGGGATTTGATCTTATTTGCACAACTTCAAAATGGGGTCCTTGATCTTGCTTGCTTTTGCTATCAACAGCAATTTGGTGTCTGACAGTAACAAGCACAGAATTTGGCCCCAGAACTGCAGCACTTCAGAAAGAGCAATTGCTTTTGAAATATAACCAAATTACATCAGAAATAAGTATAATCCTAACTTGAGACATTTAGATAATAACGCATTTGGAAAAGACATAATGGAATCTCACAAGCTTGAGGTGCATTATTTTATGTTTAGATCTTGTAAAGCATGCTCTTAAAAACGTGTTTGTTTCTAATGTTTATAAATGTAAGCACTGTTTCTAGAGAAAAGGGAATCACTTCCAATTCTCTCTTTATACCATGTTTTGTCCATCAATATCAGGGCTATAGAGAGGTTAAGGGCTAGATTCTGCAAGGTGCACAGGACCCCACTTAGAACTGATGGCACCCAACTCCATCCAAGTGGAATCCCCATATTGCAATATCAGGTCATAAGTAACGTGCCCTAGACCACCATGGGTGCTGTCCTGCACCTGGCTGTGGCACGACAGGCACACTCACCTCTGTTTCCTCTTGGTCTCTCCATGAAAAGAATATAGTTTCTCTCAGTGTCCATTAAGAACCCAACTTGAGGGCAGGGTTTATTCAAGTACACATGCAATAAACCATAGTAAACACCATTCTCACAGTGAAACACAAATATATACAGCCATTTATCAAGCTCCTCACTTGTCAGTCCACCAGCACTGAGTTCCTAATTCTTTTCTTCTGCTCAAATTCAGTCCAGCTCAGCTCCTTTCAGCCTCCTGGCTCTGGCTCTTTAGATCAACAAAGTAGCCCCTCCCCTGACTCCTAGCCAATTCCTCCTTCCTAGGATGGCTCTGCAAAACCTTCTACTTCTCTGCACACTCTGTCTCTCCAGGCAGTTATCTGCCACTTTTCTTGCACCTCCTGTCTATGCTCCCTGACTCACCAGGTATCTCTCTCTCCCCGTCTCTCCTAGCTCCTTAATAGCCAATGATGCAATCACACCGTCTTAATTGACAGACTGGACTAACTTCATTTAAAGAGGCCAGTCACCCTAGGACCAGGTCCATGTCAGAATCAGGAGTAGGAACAAGGTACAGAGCTGGTCAGGGAATTTTTTTAACAACTTTTTTCCCCCCAAAAGTGGAAAGTACTGATTCATCAAAAAGCAAAACCTTTAATTAAAGTATATTGATTTCAACAAAACTTTTTATCGTGAACCTTTCTCATGCCCAGGTTGGAATTTCTGAGCAACACCTACCTCAGAATAGCCGATAGCTCCATGGTTAGGGCACTCACCTGCTTTGCTCTGAATCAGGCATCAAGCAGTTACTGGTAGATGATCCCCAAAAGGTTTGTGAGTTCAATTTGGATGCTCCTCTGCACTTTGATCTGAAAATCAGACACGAAATCACAGAAGAACAAGTTATGATTCAACAAATGTCCAATAGGTCCTGATTTCCAATGGGACTGTCACTAGCACAGCCTCTCCTGCAGGATATCTGTTACTGCATTGTTTAGAATCATAGAATACTAGAACTGGAAGGGACCTCGAGAGATCATCAAGTCCAGTCTCCTGTTCTCATGGCAGGACTAAGCACTGTCTAGATCATCTCTGATAGATGCCTATCCAACCCGCTCTTAAATATCTCTAGTGGTGAAGATTCCACAACCTCCCTAGGCAATTTATTCCAGTGTTTAACTACCCTGACAGTTAGGAACTTTTTCCTAATGTCCAATCTAATTCTCCCTTGTTGCTGTTTAAGCCCATTGCTTCTTTTCCTAGCCCATTGATTGTCTGAAAGCACCACAGGAAAGTGCAAAGCATCCAAAAAACCTCTGTGGAAAGGTAATGCTTTTACAGGCATCAGAATCCGTCTATGTTTGGTTGGTTCTTTGATCAATAAGGAAATCATCTTTATATTTTAAGTTAACACCCCTGCTGCTATCCCAGTCCTCCCACTATTTGATCATAAGACTCTCTCTGCACTTCTTTGATCTGAAAGACTATCTCTGCACTTCTTTGATTTGCTCCAATGAGTGGTAACATAACCAAACTACATATCTTCACTGTTCAATCAAGTGGCACTGAGACCACTTACAGAGAGAAAGAATAAGACTGCTCTGCAGCCTTAGCTGAGAGCCAGCTGTGTTTTAGCTCATGGGACAGAGGTTCATGCACTAACCTCAGGGCTACATTATCCATTAAGCACAGTAGGCACAGTGTCCAGGGCAAACGAAAAATTTAGGGCCTAAAAATAATGCATAATTGACTCAAAAATAAGAAAACTGCTAAGTCTCCACTTAATAATTTGCTATTTTTATTAGAATACATGTGCAAATGTTGAAGATCAATTAAATGCAGGTGTATTAAATCTTTAGTCAACAGACCACATACAGGTATAATAAACAACCTTTCACTACCTAATTACCAAGGTTTCCTGTAAGCTGGGTAGCAGCATGGCCTTACCGCTGCCTAATGAGGCCCACCCAGGTGCTCAGGGGCTGCTTCGCAGGGAGCTGTCTTACTGGGGGGAGGGGTACTTCTCCCTCAGCAGCAGCAGTTCCATGCTAGAAACAGTTTGCCTCTTCCAGCTGGTAGGGAGGGGACATAAGGAGGAGGGGGGCAATCAGTGGCTGTGATGGGGGAGTAAGGGGTGTCCTGGCTAGGTTAGGAGAATATTGGTGTTATTACAGCAACTGGGTTTGGCTGCAGTTTCATGTGAGAAACTTAGCACTCCCCAGCCTGCTGGGCTGGGTGGGAAAGCAGACTGCATGGTGTAGGTAGGGGGTGGGAGGAAAGGAGGTGGGTGGATGCTGGCATCTGTGTGGTGGGTAGGGGGAGTTTGTTGGGTGTCCTGACTCTCTCCTGTCTGGGCTGCAACTGCTGGTGCAAGGGAGATATATAGGACTCTCTTCTGGGCTGGGCAAAGGTGGGGAAGCAGGTTGCATGGGGGAGAGGGCATGGCATACTGATATGCTGGAGAATGGGGGCTTGTGGCTGTGTGGGAGATGGGGATGCTGCTGCAGAAACTTCATTGTCTCATTAATGCATCAGAGGGAGCTTAGTCAAATATGTCTTCCCTTTTCTTGTTGAGGCTGGAGTGAGGATGGGTTGGTATTAATGGCCAACTGACTGGTGACAATTACGAGATCTTAAATATGCCAGGAAAATATTAAGGGGGGGGGAGAATAATGTAGCGCCCACTATGCCTACCTTCATGCCTCCAGCTTCCATCCCGGACACACAGCACACGATCCATTGTCTACAGCCAAGCACTAAAGTACAACCGCATCTGCTCCAACCCCTCAGACAGAGACCAACACCTACAAGATCTTCACCAAGATCTTCATTCTTGAAACTACAATACCCGCACGAGGAAGTGAGAAAACAGATTAACAGAGCCAGACATGTACCCAGAAGCCTCCTACTACAGACAAGCCCAAGAAAGAAACCAACAGAACTCCACTGGCCATCACCTACAGTCCCCAGCTAAAACCTCTCCAACGCATCATTAGTGATCTACAACCCATCCTGGACAATGATCCCTCACTTTCACAGGCCTCGGGAGGCAGGCCGGTCCTCGCCCATAGACAACCCGCCAACCAGAAGCAAATTCTCACCAGCAACTCTACACCGCACCACAGTAACTCTAACTCAGGAACCAATCCATGCAACAAACCTCGGTGCCAACTCTGTCCACATATCTACACCAGTCACAGGACCTAAACAGATCAGCCACACCATCACTGGTTCATTCACCTGCACATCTACCAATATAACATATGCCATCATGTGCTAGCAATACCCCTCTGCTATATACATCGGCCAAACTGGACAGTCCCTACGTAAAAGAATAAATGGACACAAATCAGATATTAGGAATGGCAATATACAAAAACCTGTAGGAGAACACTTCAATCTCAATGGACACACAGTAGCAGATTTAAAGGTAGCCATCCTGCAGCAAAAATCTTCAAGACCAGACTTCAAAGAGAAACTGCTGAGCTACAGTTCATCTGCAAATTTGACACCATCAGTTTAGGATTAAACAAAGACTGTGAATGGCTAACCAGGTACAAAAGCAGTTTCTCCTCTTTTGGTGTTCACACCTCCACATCAGCTGCTAGAAGTGGGCCTCACCCTCCCTGACTGAATTAACATCGTTATCTCTAGCCTTATTCTGGCCTGCATATTTCTACCTGCCTCTGGAAATTTCCCCTACGTGCATCTGACGAAGCGGGTCTTTGCCCACGAAAGCTTATGCTCCAATACATCTGTTAGTCTAAGGTGCCACAGGACTCCTTGTCACTTTTGCAGATCCAGACTAACACGGCTACTCCTCTGATAAGTAGCACCCACTACTAGACTTGTAGAGCAAACACAAAGCAGTGACTTCTCAGCAGTTCTAGATGAAAATATTTTTCACCTAGTATCAGGAGGGAAAGATACAGAGCTTGCTTTTGGCCATCCTGCATTCAAATCTGCTAATGCAGAATTTCTCCACCCTCTTTATTTGTCTGCCCTGGGTCTGTCTCCCGCCAAACAAACTAATGTTAGCTAGCATCTCCAGCTAGCATTTCCAGGCAGATTACGTCCTGTTAACAAGCACCCTGTTAACATGCGCCCTAAACATTTGATCCCTGAAGAAAAAAAGAAATGGAAGGATTTCTGCAGAAAACAGGGGATTAATATTCTGGCTTTCTGCTCGCTAGCAAGCAAATATAACCCCCACAAATACATGAGTTAATATGTTTACCAGCAGCAATGTCAAGCTCACTGCAGAACATACATAAACTCAGGCAGAATTGGAAGGATGCTCTGTTAGTGAAAAAGTCCCACAACACCACTAAAACATGGTGAAGTAGATCATGCCCAGACATATATATATATATATATGCAGCCCACTTGGCTTTCCTGCTGCTTTTTAGATCCAGACGTAAACCAGTTTTTGGCTTCTGGTACAAATGTAACACAAAGAGGAAGACAAATAACTCCAACAACCGACCAACCTGAAATCTTTACTCTAGGCTGGGAAAGAACACCATCCACATTTTGATTAGGTATCTTGGCCCCTTCTCCCAGTTCATTCAAACCCAGGACTGACTGTCCCCTCAATAAACCTAGGCTTTAAAGCTAAAACAACCCAACAGTTATTTCTTCTAGCATTGGACAGAAAGGTTTCACAGCCTACATTTCTTATGCAAATGCCAATTTAATCCAGCTTCCTCCTCTTGTTTCCAGTCCCTAGTTAGCCACAGAGGCACCAGCCTTCTTTGAGGGTTGCCAGCTTGGGCAGTATTTACAGGATAGAGATGGTCCTCTTCCCTAATCCCAAAGTAGTCTACTAACCCCTTCCTGTCCTGGCCACAAAATATTTGGGTAGGGCAAACTCTTGTACCAAGCCGAATTTGTTTTGTTTATCCAAAATAAATAATCCATTGGCATGAATGTGCAGAATGATGAGCAAGGATTGAAATGAAGAGAAAAGCTGAAGCAGCATAAACTCCATAAGAGCTGTTCTTTTGTTCAAAGTGAATGTTAATGAAACTTCTTTAGTGTTTCATGATAAACTCCCTAAGCTGCTGGGTAAAAATACAAACTCTTCATTCCCAGAAACAAGCATTTGCCATTGGTGACTCAGAAGCTTTAAAAATAAGTATCTTTTGGGGTGTATATTTCACCTTCCAATGTATCTCAGTTTTTTACTTTGAAAATATAGTCACCCTGGATAAGTACTCCAATAAACAGAACTCAG